ACTGAGTTAAAATGTGATGTCATGCTTTTCTAAATACATGGAAGTATTTATGTTCAGTCTATTGAGAAATGGACTTACATATAGTGAGATGTATGTAATTACATTCTTCTAATGATAGCAAAACCCTCTTGAAATTGGCAAGAGATGAAAACCTAGAGCCTCATATATGGAGTTTTGCTCCAGTAAACTGTTCTGTAATATTATGCTACAATGATTCACGCTGTTTTATTTCTAGAAAGACACTCCCATTTGGAGCAGACAGAAGTCCTTTGCTGCTGACCCTTTTGAACAGTGGCATCAACCCCTCAAGGAACAGAACCGCTAGGATACAGTAACCACTCACCCACAAACATTGACACTTCATATTTTAATAATCTGAGGTGCACAAATTGGTTCTTTACTGCCGGTAGCAGCGACTGAGTTACGCTTAGGGATGCGATCCCTCTCTTGCCATTTGGACAGGCTCACCCCTTTGGCAAGCTGGAAGTGGAGGCTGGCTCACTGGGCATGCACAGCGCGGCTGTAATTCCTGGTGGCCCCTAGCCTAGGATTTACCTGTGTGCTGGAGGCTTTCTGCTGCCTCTTCTGGTACAGTCAATAATCTCTGCCCTCAGGTGGCACTGACCTTGTAATTCTCTATGGTTCTGAATTTATACTTTATCATACATAGATTTTCTTGATGAAACAAGGAAGACTTATCTAAGAGAGTAGGATACAATAATTGGTTGATATATATATATATGTGTGTGTGTATATATGTGTGTGTGTATATATATATATATATATTTTCCTGAAATACTTCAGCATCTACTTTTAATGAATCATGAAAGAAAATTACTTAGAGCTCAGCCCAGTTAAAATCCTAATCTTTACTTTCCAGATAGACAGTGTTTAAACCTCCAGTAAACACACTTGTTCCACGCAAAAGCAGCGCGGTGCTGGACTGAAAAGTCATTTACTTAATTTCGATCTTGAGTTTCTCCAGTGTGGAAACGAGAAGGCAGTGTCAATAGAGGGCAGTAACCTGACAGCTCGCGTTGCCGAGGAGGGCCCGGAGCGGCTCGGGGGACGGGATCTGCCGCGGCATCCGACCTGCCGCTCTGCTGAGGCGCTCCGTGAAAACCCCGGGAGGAGAAAGCAGCAAGTACATGCTACAAAGGTACACGTGCATAGGTAAATAACTGTGTCTGATATAAAAACCTCTTCTTTTTAACCTGGCGTTATGGCGGTTAAAAAAAAAAAAAAAGTGATCTTTTAAGTGTACAAGTCAGTTCGGCTGCTGTGCGCTTCGGGAAAAGTATACCATGTATGTTCGTTATGAAAAATGCAAACATGAGCGTTTTCGGTAACGTATGTGCAATAAATGCCAGACTGTTTAAATTCAATATGTTTATCAGTAGCTCCTCTGGAAGCGATCAAAGGAGCTGCACGGGTAAAGAAAGTGTAGAGCTTTATTTGGAGCCAGGCGGGCGCCGCGGAACCTGCGGCGTTCGTGTCGGGGGGAGCCGGCAGGCGGCCAGCG